AAGCAGTCACACTTCAAGGACAGCTACTCCTTTAAGAATAGAAAGCCTGTGGTTTGCCAGCCATTTTAAAAATAATAAAACATTAAAGTGAAAGTAAATCACAAATTTATTACATTCTCATGCAAGCAATTGATAGTTATTCAGCTTAAAGACAGGTATTTAAAAATAAAACAGGATTTAGAGATGCATCTTCTTTAGTTAGATCTGCTGTATTTCTCTCCATTTCACTTAGTTAAAAAGCTGTCAGGACATTGTCAAAACTTGCTAACGACTGCCCCAGTACATCACAAACTTTTAATCATTGCAAAGAAAGTGCATTTCAAATCTCAGTATATGGCAAATTGTATATACACATGCACACTAAAACCAGCAGTTCAGACAGTGAACTGATAATCACATTACTTAAATACACAACAGAGGTCAAAGCTTACACTGTTATTAGCTCCTGATTAAGTCTGAACACAATGCAAGTTGTAACCAAGAATTCTTTATAGTGGGTTAAGCAATAAACCCTTTAGAACCCCAAACCATCACGGAGGGCTATAAAAACAACCAGAGATGCCATGGTTTCCAGCTTACAGACCTTAATTTATGTAAGGAAGAGACTATTGTTCACTTGACCTGACTTATGTTTCACACGGGGAAAAAAATTCCTTTTTTGCAAAAGCACTTCTATTTTACTGAGACAGCATATTGTTCATTCATGAATCAGGAAAGTTTTGCGGTGACAGTTTTATTGGCCCAGTTCATAAATGTGTCATGTCATCTGTAACCAGTGCAACAGCAATAATAATATTATAAGACATGGGGAATATAAAATTTTTCTTTCTTCCTGATGGCTGATAAACAACGTCTTTCATTCCATAAGTGTGGGAATCATTGTAAGGTTTGATTTCCAGCTGCTGAAAATCAGAAATTTCATATTTCAAGTTGATATATACAAGTGCTGATTTCCATTGCTTTAGAACACAGTTCTAAAGAGGCACAGATTTGGACATCCACTCATCTTTTTATGAAAAATAGACTGACAGATAATTGATAGTAAGTTTAAATTTTTGTTGTCATCATTTTCCTACCGAAGGAAGATCTATGAAATGCCGTTTTTATTACAGAACAGGGAAAAAAAAAATCATTAGTTTGATAGTTGTACAGTGTATTCCAAAACCCACAAATATATGAAAAAGATTCACACTAGGAAAAAATATATATTAAAAAAAATCAAGGCTGAGGAATAATTTCACAGTGTAACTTTATAACGAGTCCCTAAAGGAAATATGTTTCTTTTGTTCCCCTCTGCAAAGCTATGTAATTGATTCTTAACTGCTGTGTTAATGCTCCCTGTTCCTGTCAGAATCCCTTTGGAAATACATGAAAGTAACCAGGACTTTCTCCTGATACAACCTCTTGAATGCTGGAATTTGGGATTCTCTGACACGCATCACAGGCAGTGGGCCACAGTGGAACCTTCAGTGCCAAAGGGCTGATAAATATTAATATGGAAGAATAAAGTATATCAAATTATATACTGAAATGTAGAGCAAATCAGGAAACTGTTTTCTTTTATAATGAAAGACATTTTCTTACAGGCACTGTTAGGTTCCAACAGGAAAAAAAAATCAAATTATATATGCTATCACATGGCTTATTAACTTTTTGTGCCAGCTTGCAAAAGTTTAAATGACAATAGACAAGTGTTTTCGAAGAAAGGATTTGGTCTTCATCAAGATCAAGAATCAGTTTGATTCTCCCTGACCTTTTGTGCCTTTTGCTGTACCCACACAGAGAGTAATAAAAGAAGAAGAATGAAGCAGAAAGGATTTGGCCCAGCTCCTGAGTTATAACCCAGTGACTGTTACAGAGTCATGCATGAAAGTCTGTCTGCCTGGACAGAGCCTGTGACATCAAGCAACCTCTCTTCAGCAAACAAGGAGAGAAATACGGGAAAGATGTGATTCATTTTTTTACCTGTGATGCCTAATTAAACTTAATTAAGGTTATGTTGAGGGATCTTGAGCAGCATGCACAAGGGATATCTCCTTCCTGATTATTTTTAGCTTTGAGAAAGCTTTCCTTTAAGAAAGGAAGATTTCCTACCACAAAGAAAAATGTCCTTATGAAATACACGTTTGTGTTCCAATCTAAATTTAAGACATAGTACAGATAAAACATCAGTGCTAGTCAAATGGTTTTTAAATTACCTCAAAGCTCTACAATTACTGTAAAGAAAATTCTATAGTTTTCACAATTAAATTAAGATTCAATAAAACCCTAAAAAATCCACAATTTGAATATATGCTCCCTTAAACAGCACTAAAGTTGCTAATTACTTTCATCACTGATTTTAAGGTTACTAACCTGATGACCTTAAAAGTTAATCAACCTTGGCAGCCACACAACTTGCTGCAAACTTTTCCTACACTATGGGTCATCATCTCAAGTTTCACAGTTACAGACACCATTGCTGTACTATGCACATCCTTGACATTGTTACGCACTGGGTGGCAGTGTGAAAGGCTTTTGCTCAAAATATCCTTTATGGGAATAACCTAATACAAAATTGCAAAGTTAAAAATAAAAATTATTTTAATTTAATGCATTAGATTATAAATAGTGAAACACCTGGGGAAGGGGGTGTCTCCTGCTTCTTATTAGAATGACACTACTTGATAAAAGACCCTAGTTTAAGTAGACTATAACTTCTGAGATGCCTGGTCTGAAATTTTTCATATTACATATCTGACTTAGAATTTTCTTTCTTTGTGGAACATTTCAGTTAATGTAATTCAGCAATTTCTGAGAATGCAGCAGAGACAAGAACAGTAGGATGCTGCACCACCAGATTAACATGAAATCTTATTTTGAATTCTGCGGTTTGCAGCAGAAAATAAAATCTGGAAGTGAACTGGCTCTGTCTGGGATTAAATGAGAAAAGGTAGGCTTTGATATTATTGGGAGAGGATGATAAACAGACATTCAAAAGCAAAGTTCCCTCCCTGCCAAAAGGGACAGTCAATCCATTCATGTACTTCATTTGATATGTGGAAGTCCTAGATTAAAGAATTCGTGATCAAGACAGTTGAAACTTTCCCTGAAGGTTTGGATTTTTTTTTTTCCTTGCCCTTGTCATAGAAATCCTGCACTATAATAAGAAATAAGCAAAATTTTGTAAGTCTTGCTTCTTAGTCTCTACTAATTATGTTTCTTCAATTTGGGGCAGTGCACTGAGGAAATGTAAGTTGAGATTCAGATATGTAGAAAGTCTGGAGATTCAGTTACAACAAACATGTTGTGGCTATACACATTTCTATGTATTTTTCAAAGTCCTGAGGCAGATAATCAACAAGAGAAATTTCAGGCCAGCCACTGTAAACAGGGGGCCCTTCAAATCAATGGATTTCTGGGCCTTAAATCTTTCTCTGCCTCAGTTCTTTACTTGAAAATTTGGGAAGACAAGAGCATCTTTTTTCGCACAGGACACTGAAAATAAACTCATCATTTATCTCTGAAACATGGTTACTCCAGCGAAATACACATGGAGACTCGCATTTTCTTTCCCAGAATGACTTGAATGGTATGTCAAACACAAAGCCTAAATACAATAAGAAAAAATAATACTGATTGATGCTGTTCATGAACAAACAATGTCTTTTTTGCATTACTGAATGCCCTAGGGTTCTGGGTAAAAGCAGCAGATAAAATGATATACTTGTATACCAGGCAGGCAAGTTTTGCTGCACACAAAAAATAACACAGATGTTTCTTATATTTTTTGCATTTCCCTAGTGCAGTTATCTGTTACGCCCTAAAAGCTATTTAACAGAGCACATATTAACTTGAGTATAATAATAATTGCTACATTATATTAAGGCACAGAGTTTATGTTTTGAATGCTTTCAAATTATAAAAGACAGAAAGACACTGACATTGTCCCTGTGTTCATGAAGAAATTACCCCCTTTGGACATTTGATCGCATATTTATCTATTATGCAATTTTATATTTTCTTCTAAATCATCTATTATTGACAACTGTTGGAGACAGGATATTTGACTAAATGGATCATTAGTCTGCTCATTTCCCCAGGTTTCTATGTGAACTGAAGATGCCATGGCATCTGAGCCTGACAAGCACACGCAGAAAGAGCTGAAATCGCGTGAGGGCTTAGAGCACTGCTGCGTCTCACAAACACTGAGGCAATGCTCCATGTAAATAGAAATGCTAAAAGCAGTCTCCATTCTATAAGGAATATGTAGGAAAGATCAATGTAAAATCTTGACATGGTACTTTTACCTTCCCATTTAATAACATCAATAAACATCTTCAATATTGATTTTTGCTTATTATTAAAATGACCTAATACAAATACAGACACTAATCCAGATAAATGCAGAGATCAGTATAACTGCAGCCAAGAGCATTTAGACCAGAAAAACTATCAATTATTACCAAGACTGTCAAGCCTGACAAAACAGAACTCCACATAGACTTCTGCATGCAGGACTTTGAAAGCAGGATGATTCCTGAGCTCTACTAAGTTACCATATCCTAGGAAAATCTTCCGCAGGCATGCTGGCTGTGCCTGTACCACTCAACATCTATTTTTAATTTGAAATATCAGCACAATCTTTGTTAAAATTGTGCCTAGGACAAAGAAATGACCTTTCATTCTGAATCAGGGCAGTAAAATACTTTTCTGAAATACTTGCAGATGAGTTTTCTCAGTTTTGTGAAGGTTGCAGAGTTTCTTCCAAACACCATTGTCTAATGTATGTTTCTTGTTAAATTTCAGAAATTACCTCCGCCATGCCAAAGAAGAATTGTTCAGATTTGATCAGGCTCTGCCAATACAATTACATCTTCTGAAGGTGGGACTGTTTTAGTATATGATAGACAAAGAATCAAGCTAAACTGTTCTGTATAGTCAAATACCAAAAAAAACCCCTTAAAATGCAGACTTAGAAATAAAAACACAATAGCTTTATTTCTGAGAATAAACAGTACCTTTTTCCTGTCATATAAGGCATGGTTGTCCAATATCATCTTCTTTTCATGAGTAGCATACCTCCGCAAATCACGTCCAAATTGCTGTAAAAAATATTGCAAATATCAAGAATTCTGACAAATCAAAATTGTCACTATTTTTATAAGAGTTCCAATACAAAACCAAATACCAAAACTAAAACATACAAATTAAAAGACTACAGTGTGAAAAAGTGGATCATCTGAAAGAACAATGTTTTGATAGGCAATGGTTCATCATTTCAGTTGGTTAGTCTGGGAATAGCTGGGCACTGTATGAGAAAGTAAGCCAGTGATGGGCTCTTACAGTCTGTATGTGAAATATATCAACATGGAGTAGAAGCTGAGTGAAGAAAAGATGGAATCATTGCTTACTCAACCAAAGGGCCTCACAAAGTGCATTTTTAGTGTGAACACCCCACAACAGATTTGAGAGAAGAGCTTTTAAGTAGCCAAACACTTGCAGGATAAGAAGGACCAGTCAGTCTGGAGAACCAGAACTGAATCTACAGTCCAAATAAATACATTTTATTATCTCAAAAAAGAAAACTGACTGAAGTAACTCATCAGCTCAGCAGGATAATACGTCAATTACAACATTTTTCCTGGTCTAAAAGTCCTTCCTGCTTCCAATTAACCTGAGTAGAACAGAGTGGCAATGCACCTGTACTGCTTCTAGTGCATCAAAATGATCATTCAGAGCAGGCTCAGGAGCTCTCACATCCTATAATCACTCCCTAAGAAAACGAGCATCAGAAGGCAAGCATGTAGAACAGATTAAAAACTAATTCTGCCCAGAGAGAGATTAATCATTTGAGTTCAGAGTTTGCATTTAGATAGAATGTTTTGTTTTAAAAATACTGTACTATTTTATATTATACCCAATGACTACGTGTCTACTGTGAAAGTAACTATCATTTAAAGTTTTCTTAACTTCTTAAAATATCAAAACATATTTATTCTAGTTCACAAATAATGCGTAAATTTTAAAATTTGCAATTTTTTCTGATTTAAAGCATCATTTTACATAATATACATAATTTTACATAATCACATAATATACAAGTGAAACAAAGCATTTTATCTTATCCCAAAAGAAAGAGGTCAAATGGTTTTCAATTTCCTACAAAACAAATTAAGTGCCAATTCAGAACACATCTTCCTCAAATATTTAATTTCCTGTAAAAATTTGTAACACTTTCCAAATAATTTGTCCACTCAGTAACCATTTAAATAGCTTGTTCACTAGTATGATGTAAAAAGACAATGCAACTGACTGAAAATCTAGCTCTCCAGTCCATGAATATAAACACTAAGCTGTGAGGAAAATAGATGTTAACTCCTCTAGAGAGATATTCACAGATATCAGTGAGGAGTTCATCAGCTCCAGCCTATGATCACAGGTTGATCACAGCATGAAATGTGACACATGGAGAGAAGGAACATTTTTTAAGAATCCATGAACTCTGAATGGTCTTGCAACAACAAAAATAGGTTAGAAATGCTAAGGAAACATGGACTTTGTGGTTACTTACCCTGGAGCCTGTCCAGCCTAAGAGAGCATACGCATACTGCTCAAAAGGGGTTATGACCAGATCCACACGGATTGCCTTCCAGTCTTTGGCTTCTGCCATATCAATTTGTTTTGACATGTTGTAACTGCTGTTGTCTACTCTTGGCTGATACAATTTTAAAATTGCAAAACATTTCTGAAAATTATCCATGGCATCAACTTTTCTGCTTGGTATCTGTTCCTTTAGAAATGTTGATTCAGTGATATCATAATACAGGAGTAAGTCCTAAAGAGAAAATATTGCTCACATTGAATTGCTGGACTAGTTTTACAGAGTTTCTAGTCAGTTATCTTAAAAATCATGTAAAATTCAGCTTCAGTAAACATAGAACTGTCGTGGGCTAAATCTGGGCTAAACAGAAGCTTGAATCAGCTGCAACTTTTGGAAAAATATTAGCAGATCCTTTGAGGGAAATACGCAGTGGTGGCCATCTGGTGATAGCAAAGTCCTGCCCTGTATTAAGGAGGCAATATTTGCAATTTTCCCCCTTAGTTCTTTCCTCCTAAGCCTTTTAAAATTATGTCAACAGAAATTTCTGTGTAAGGATTGCTGCTTTCCCACTTGGCAGACATCTAGAAAAAAAAAGATTTGTCCAGAGCACAGTCTTGCTGATAGATTCCAAACAGAGCGTTTGGACTGTGTCTGCTGTGTGACATTTCCTTGTGACAAGGTCTAGAGTCTCCAGAGATGATGAAAGAGTTCTGCCCATGCCTTTTTTTTGAAGGAAGTGCACCAAAAAACTGGTGATCCTCAAAAGCCAGATTTTAATAAAACATAAAGATTATTCTTTTATTATTATAAACAAAGAAGAAAGAGAGTAAGAAAAATGGAAGTAATAGAGCATTGCAAATCAATTCCTTCTAATCCAGAACTATAGAAAAAGTTGGATGGAAAGAGGTAGTACTTTCTTTCATCCTTGCTCTTTAGCCAGCTACCTTTTCAATGGCTCCTGGCAGTGAACTCTTCACTATCCCTTCTAGGCCCTTAGGAAAAGCATCTTTCTGTCATTCTGCTGGCCTGTCTCTGTGCCTGTTCCTTGCATTTCTAGACAGCTTCTAAGGCTACTGGTTTCCTGGACATCTCAGACTTACCCTGTGCTTTCAAAGTTTCTTAGGGTTCTGCATGTTCAGCTGCCCTCAGGCAAAGTGCAATCTCCTGAGCCAGAAAACCTCTCATAGAATCATAGAATTGTTTAGGTGGAAAAGACCTTTAAGATCATTGAGTCCAACCAGTTCTGTGCATGAAGATCCAAAACACAGCACCTTGGAGAAGACAAGTAGCAGCCTCCCTCTCTCTGTTGGTCAGCACATACTTTTTAAGAATACAAATCATCAAATACATAATGAAGAAATAAAGCAGATATTGTTCATCACACTGCTTCCTCCAGCCATCCTTGAGTCTTCAGAACAGAAATGGAGCTTGATATGTAACAATACAACAAAGTTCAGTGTCACTGAAACCATCTATAGCAGGAAGGCTCAGCTGGCAAAAAGATTCCACTTTCGGAAAGTGGTTACACATGACGAAAACACTTTAACGTGTGCCTTGGTCTTGGTACACTCAGCCTTAATTCAGCTTTTATAGATTCATAAAATATAGCAAACCACTGCGACTGCCTCCTCTGAGCTCCCAATTTCACAGAAAGTAGAGACTTCTGAGATGTGTTTTTGCAAAAAAAAAAAATTACCTTTGTTATAAAGGTTAGCAACAATAGTGCATAAACCACTTTCTTTAGGTTCTTGAATCAATTATTTGTCTCTGCTTTGAAGTTGCTCAAATGTTTACACATTCTCCTTCCTCTGTACCTAGGGATTCTTATACTTACCATAAAAAAGCATGGTCAAGAATGCCTCCTGACTTTTAGTTAATATATCCATTAATATATAGTAAAGAATCATATTAGGTTTATGCTGGGTTTTGGTTGTTGGGTTGTTTTTTGGGGGGGAAGGGGAGTGTTGATTTTGGTTTGGGTTTTTTTAATTATAGTATTGAACTGAGAGCATATAGAAGTGGGTTTATGTCATGGCTGCTGATGGTTAAATACAGTGGTCTCCACGTCAGACCTTTTATGAACACAGGTGACAATGAACTGATTTTTGGAAGAACATCTCCATATTAAACACTAGGTGTTGATTATTTCTTTTATATAGTGCAATTGTGGTAGTTTTACATGATAATACGTTAAATACCTTGGAGAATACAGCAATAAAATTACTTTTATCACTCAGAGCTATAATTCTGAACAAAAAAAAAGCATAACAAAAACACTTTAAAAGATATGATTTTCATGAAAAGATGCTGATAGATACTATTACAGTTTCAGCCTCCAGGTTTTTGTTGATGATTTGTTCCAAATTAATAATCCTATTATTTTACTGCTAATCAGTCACAGGCTGTTTTATGGGTCACTGGGCCAACCTTTTTAATGATAACTATTTGACTTGCATTGACATTCCTTGACTGCCTTGCAATTTTTCCAGGTTTTATAAATTTATAAATCCTCTTTTAAATAACAGGAAATTACTTACATAGCTCTTTCTCTTGGATTACTAGTTTCTAAGTCTGATTATTTGAAAACGCATGATTTTAGCAGGTGCCCTTTCAACATCCGTCTTTAAAACAGATAGTTATTTCTTCTTAATTTTACCCCAATGTCACAAGGTACTGATGCTTGCTATAGCCGAACATAGACTCAAAACAGCTGTTGAATGTTAATGCATAAGTGCTTATTATCTCACTTTCTGATGAAACTATGCCTGCCTTCAGGTTAATGTTGTCACTTTTAATGCTAAATATACTTTTATTCTCATTGATCATTGAACATTAATTGATGACTTCAAGCTTTGATTAAGCACTGTCATTCTTCCCATTATCTATAAAAATCATCTACCTACCTCGTCAGGGCTTTCTCATTGTTTGCTGCACTTTTCTTTCTGCTCTTTGAGATTTGGGGCATTGCATAGCATATCCCAGAACAAATCCAAATTATTTCTTTCCCT